CCTCCACCCTCACTGTCAGCCAGAGAATAGAGGCGCAGGAGGAGTGGCTGATGGAGCGGGAGGAGGGGAGAGAAAGTATGTGCGTGCGGACATACATGAAAGTCAACTAGGTGTGCTGGCAGCATTCTTATTGGTTCTATTTTTAAATGCACACGTATGTAATTATTTAGCGTATTTCCTGCGCTGATCTACATTTCCACTGAAGCTTTATCACACGGACATTCGCTGACTGCACTTTCTGTTGTTTCACCGTTTATATTCATTGTTATTCCGGCACAAAACAGCCCTTTCATTTCAAATGGAAACATTTGACACATTATGGTTTGTTTATGTTCTTCTTTCTGTATTCCATTAATGTTCTTCACTATTACATTCTTCCCTATATTTGTCATTTCTGTCCATTTGTTCACTATTATTTGATCCCTTAATTCAACCTGAAACTGATTCTGGGATTATATCAGAAACATCTTGGTACACCATTTGATCAACATGTCTCTGTATTCCTGATGCTTTATTCAGACAGGTTGAGATCATGACTGAAACTCACACACACGTTTATAGAAGATGTTCTGCCAGTAGACGGCATATCCCGCATCTGCCATGCTCTCCTTCTCTGGAATATTATTATCTTTTTACTTCAATCGGATTTATGATATTTGTGTTCCCTACACATAAACCAATACAAATACTACATGTTACAAAGAAAAGCTGACAGGCCTGTCAGGGCAGGTCCAATGTAAACACTCCAAAGAACTATTAATTGCAGATCCCACACAAACCACTCTCAACGGCTCAGTCACCTCTGCTGTCTACCTCTCACTACACGTGGTGACATGTCACCCTCACATTATATTTGCTGCTGAAACAAAAGGTACATGTGTAACAGAATGGGAGCTAATGCAGAACACGGGGCTGTGCTGTGGGGCTACGTGTGTCTTCAGGGAGGTTAGGGTTAGTGATGATAGAGGCTGGATAAGTTTTAAAACTGTTGACTTAGCAGAGTTCCCATGAGAGCTTTAATCCATGCGGGAACACAAAGAGGCAGGGCGGCCCTAAGGTGAGCTCTGAGTGTGTGTGTGTGTGTGTGTGTGTGTGTGTGTGTGTGTGTGTGTGTGTGTGTGTGTGTGTGTGTGTGTGTGTGTGTGTGTGTATGAGACAGAGACTCACATGGGTGTGCTGCCACTCTTATGTGACGTGTCTCACACCATCCGGGGTCATCAGAGGGTCAGCGCTGCAAGCAGAGAGAGGGGATTTATGTTACCATTTTGAATATCAGCCTAAAACCACAACATTAAGAACAAATGAGGCAATGTTTGAAGCCACTGAATTAGAATTGTTATATAATAACCAAAACCCTCAGCTTGCTTCCAATGAAAACCTTGAAAGCTGCACTTATTAATCCTTCCCACTAAAAAACCAAAATCAAAATGAAGAATGACTTTAAACTGTGATCTACTCATTTCTTAAGCCTTCTTTAAATAATAGTTTAGCTTTCCAGCTTTTGACCCCTCTGACAGTATCACATGTTTGCACACAGCCGGCAGCTGTTTTCAATGACATATGAAAGTATGTTAGATGCCTAGCATACAATGACGAACAGACAATGTGAGTACAAACTGGAAAAGGAAGAGCCAGATATTGAGTTGACCAAAACCAAGCTTAAATATAAAGTGAATACTGAACTAATATTGGTTGAATGGACAGAAACATAATGTCGCTCTGTGTCTGCTGGACGGGTAAATAGGCTATCGTTGACGTCAAAGACTAAGAGCAAGTCTTTGAAGCCCAGTCTGCACACGTACACACAATTTGAGAAGCGCTCTTAATATACTCATGAATGAATAACACCTGTGTAGGTGCACCATGGCTGCCAGTGGAGGAATACAAGATGTGTTTATTACTAACCGGTGCAAACAGTGATGAAAACAAATCATAACTAATGATGATTTTTTTTTAAAGTTCGCATTTTTGTTGAATGCTCAAAAGTACTCTGACGATGTTGCAAATGTATATGTCAGAGATTGTAGAGGGTATATTCTTTTTTATTAGCTTGCAGTTTTGTCGTATTGTTGCAACACATGCACTTTCTTGCAGGTTTATGAACGTTACAATGGAGTTTGTTCTGCTGTTGAACTGTATTATTTTGAGAGGTGTTTCAAATATTCCGGCTCCCTCAGTGGTCTGAAGAAGACTGAACAACACCTCTGGAAACAGGCAGGAAGACCATGGATTTCTAAAGACTGTGCATTTGAGAAAACCTCAGATTCGCATTTGAAAAACCCACAGTATTTACCCCGCAAAAGGTTTCCTCATAGTAAGAGGCAAAGCACTGCAGAGCAGCGGCCTATTGTTTTGAATTAAAGTGACAGTTTTACTCTCACATCAAGGAGAGAGGAATGTGGCAGAGAGGCGTTTCTGACCGTAGTATGAAATCTTTCACACTTTCAGTGCACAACGACACGGCTTACGGCAGTAAATCTCTCACACGCACACACACACCCCCCCCCACACACACACACACACGTATGGACATAGACAGAGACAGATATTCACATACACTGATACTCACTGTGATTTAGGGTAATTGCAAATAACAGCCTTCTGCTTTGACATCCAACCTCTATCAATTAAACATCAAATGTTCTCCCCAACAGTTTTTCTACCAAACACATTCTTCATTCCTTTCATCCCAAAAGCTGAAACTCAACAGAGTTAAAATGCCAGTGAAAAGCAAGCAGGCGTGAGACAGGGGAATCAAAGCATGTTAATCAAGCCCTACAGTGCTGCGTGTGTGTGTGTGTGTGAGAGAGACAGTACAAGAAAGCGATGGGAGCCACAGAAGATGTGCATGTAATCATTTTTATTCTTCAACCCCCACCCCTCTCTTCCTCTCCCTCTTTCTTTCCCCTATTTGAGCCAAGGTTTCTCTCTTTCTCTCCATCCATGTCAGTGTCTATAATGCACTCTAACAACACACAAATCACTGGAGTGGTTTCCAGGCAACAGGAGGGAGGGTTTAGGGTTCTGGACCCTGAAGGAGCCAACAATATCTTCCAAGAGAGGAAATTAATTCAGTGGAAGTCTTAGAAAAAAATCCTTCAGATCCAGTCAATAATCACCACCAGATAAATAAAAGGGTTGAGAAGGGGCGTATGTGGGGAGCATTGATTTCCCTTGTTTTCTGCTGGCTAGTACACACAGGCAGTCAAATCAACAACTGGTCAACAGCCAACAGCATGACAGTCAGAAACCAAAGTGTCCCCTCTCATCTCTCCCTGCTCTTCCTCTCTCGGTAGGAACCATGTTTTCTTCTCCCGACTCCCTCCAACACACATTCATTTCTCTCTGCCTCCCCCCTGTGGACGCTAATGGTCATGGTAGCTATTTTAGATATACTCCTCAATCGGTGAATGGGAACTCTTTCCAGCACATGTTACCTCTTCAATATAAAGCATACTTACAGGATTCTTAAATCTAACCAATGACTTGTTAGTTTTGTCATTGACAATAATCCTTTCATTATAAATAAATTATACCTTTTTGTTTAATACAAACAATTACATGCCTCAAATACCTCCAACACATGTCATATAAAGAACGTGTGAAATAAAATAAAAACAAGTGCAATAATTGTTATGTGAAAATACAGGTATTACTGCTTTACTTTTATCTGTTAACTGCCTTTTTTTATAGTGCTGCTACTTTTTTAACCATTGTGGTGTACTTATATTCTATAACTTTTAAAACGTTTAATAAAGTCATAGCCATTGACAAACCCTGTTAGAGTCAAGTCCTACTTCCAACTTAAATATAACCTCATTTTGGATATTGTAAAATAAGTGCTGCATACTGTAGCTGTTCAAGAAATATGGACATGATTTTATATCAAACAAACAACTAAACTAATGTGTATGGGCCTTTCTGACCGCAGCCACGTTGACATGGCGTTGCAGGGTAAACGCAGGTGTTAGTAATGGCCCCGTTCCATTAAGGTGGGTTAGGGCACTGGTAAAGTGCATGCTGGCTACGAGAATGGCTGTTACACAATAATAACAACGTAACCACAAGTAAGTGTTAATACTAGTATACATTAATTAATTGCACCCGTGTTAACCTAGCAATGACATGACATATCTACTTCTGTGAACATAATAATTCAAACAGTAGCCTATATTTAAAATGATTCAGTTCATTTAACATTTAAATAAACTGAAAGTCATGTTTGTGTTACAGTTGCTCCTCGACATCCAACGTTGTGAGACTGTAGCCTACTAAATTAAACGTTACACGAAATGTACAGGCCTACTTTGTAAAGCAGAGGTTTGACTTGAGGCCTGAGAGCAAAATGTCCCCTTCTGAGCTGTAGGCCTACTGAGTGAGGGAAACATATTAGTTGTATGGCATTGAGTTACTGTTAGATCATACTATTTAGTCCCTTCCACAAATTCGTTTACACAGCAGCAATAAGCTAGCAGCACGTACCTGTCTCATTTCACGTAGCTCGAGCTGCAGTTCCCGCGGGTGAGACCCCCCCCCCCCTGGGTGGTGTATGAAAATGGTCAATAAATAAACAAACTCTTTTGTAAATGGCCTACTGGAATTTTTTCCCCTGAAAAATAAAAAGGGCCAAACGTTTCCCTCTTGTGGTGGCGCAACTACTAATGGGACTGAACTCTCGCGAGGCAGCGTGGCGCGAGCCTACCCAGTTTACGCCGAGCTTCGAGATCTCCGTTTACGTTATGCTAAACATATGCCTGATGATGTCTAATCAAATATCAAATGTTGTTATGCACCTGCCATTATAGAAAAGTTATTTTTCTACATTATGAATGTTGTGTCTCTCCTTGTTAAAGTCTAAACTAAGTCCAGATGAGATAGTTTGAGAAAATAAAAACCATAGGCTAATTTGGAAAGCACACACACTGCCTTTCAAATGTCCATCAGCTGAACACATCTTGTATAACTAGTTCAAAAGAAAAATAAGGAAATGTAAACCCATGTTTAATAGCCTACATTAAATGTTGAATTCACTGACATGAAGACAAACTATTAATACATCTTATGAGTAGGCCTACAGTGAGACATGTGGGAACAAACACTAAAGAAACCATTAGGCCTGGAGAATCTGCAAACAAAACTTCCACACAAATTCAGAGATGTCATGAAAACTTACGGTATACAATCTCAACCGTGAAACCTGCCTTTGTGGGCCACTCAAAGGCAAAGTATTGTGTAACAATAGAAGTCATTTTACAATTCAGCATTTGTTCTTAGAATCCTGTCTCATACTATTAAAATATTCAAAGACAAGAGATGACATGTCCTAGGCATTAAAAGAGAATCCCTCCTAGTGGGAAATGATCTACAACATATTGTAGAGATAAAGTGCATACAGTATGTTTGTGTTTTAGTGGTAACCTGTTTCCTTTAAACAAATGCCTCCAAAAAGGAGGCAACACAGAGTAGAACATGTTTCTGGTTATGGTAAATATAACGATACAGCTTCATAAACTTTAAAAGTACAGAAGGTTGCACTGTATGAGAGTCACCCACTTATAAGTATCATAGACACATACTCATGTTTACAAAAATATTGATTGTAAAGCTAAATATATTCTTAACAAGCCCTTTAAGATATTATCACAAATTCCTATACTTTTCCTATTTTCTAGGTTTCTTTTCTGTTGTATCCTGTGCTTCACCACAGGTCGGGCTCCACCCAGACGATCTTCTTCTGCTCCTCCCAGATGACGGTGCGCAGGCTGCTCAGCAGGGAGGCCTGGTCACACCAGGAGTCAGGGGCCACGCTGTGATACAGGCAGGGCAGCTTGTCCAGCAGCGGCTCCTCGCTCCTCGAACACGCCAGCAGACTCTCCTCTGACTGGTTGTGGCGCTGCAGCTTTGACCTGGAAGTGTAGGAGGAATTAACTCAATTAATAAAAAAAGATCATATTGTTTGTTGGCAAATTCCATATGCAGACCATTACTTTTCATGAATGATCAGAACTGGGTGCAGCGTTGGAGGCAGGGCCCTGTTCTTATATGGAAGATGCTCAGTGGTGCAGGAAACTCCTGGGGATCTTCCGCATGCATTGGGCCCATAGAGCATGCGTACTTATGTTTTCCAAGAGCCTCGCCTACTACTTTTAGCCCATTTTACACATTTAAATGAAGGCCATTCAAGTATTCGTTGTGTGAAGTTGATTTATGTGAACAAATATGATCTGCTGATTTACAGTAGTCTCCTTCCCAATGTAAGTCAATGTTTAACCTCTAACCAGCTCAGATTGTTACATTTACGAGACTTCTTTTTGAGCATTGATATGAAAGAACGTGCTTCTATGATCAGTATGTCCTGTGCAGCGTACTGCTACTGAGAAATAGCAGACTGCAGAATGTCCAAAATGACCAATCAGAATCATGTTTTCATCAAAGCAGTGTAATAAATCTGTATATTTATTATCGGCTACGATTGAGTTTAAGGGGAGAAAGTTCTTTAGAAGATCAACATTTAACCTCCTGATCAGAGGAATCAGGTTTCACTCTTGACGTAAAGCAGAGGTACAGTATCAGTTTGTCCAGTGGCAGCAGGCTCGATGGACCAGAACACATTGCAGACAAAGAAGGAAACACGTTTGTGTTGTTTTAACTTCAGTGGGAAAACGACATGCTGTTCTCATGTTATTGCTTATTTAGCCCACAACACAAGGTTGGAAGTTTGAGCTGTTAGTTGAAAGGATTAAACATCATTCAGGAAAAAGTAGGGTCATTGTAGATGGATGTATCTACTGTACTGGTATACACTGAACTTCACAAAGGGAGAGAGGCTAATACTCTCAAGTGGCAACATCTAACATCCAGCAGGAGTTGACTTTAGCAAAAAGTACCCAGATTGTATTGAGGTCGATGAGAAAGTGACCTTACTTATTGCTAGATTGATTAGATCAGTACACATTTCTTTACTTTTGTAAAGTTCCTAGGTTTATGCTTTCAATTTAAATCAAGTCTTATTCAGGAATGAATGTTCACTTTGTAAAGTATGCCCCGGCCACACGAGGACGAAAACGGTCGTTTGCGTTACTGTTTAGTGTCATATAGACCGTTCGGCCACACGAGGACGACCGAATACGGCACTAAACGACTGGGGAAACGATAACGGGTCCCAAGGTGGATAGAACGGCATACGCAACGCTCTGGGGGGTCCAACGGCTCCGTGTGTACGCCCTATACGATCATTTTCTGATAATGATGAGGCAATAGCCCCGCCTCTCCCCACCTCTGCTGCTCACCCCCGCGTCAAAGTAAACTGCACACTGAATTCAGATTATTTATCTTTCTCTCGATATGGACATAAACGCGAGTGAAGTCTAATCTGACAGGACGGAGACACCTCTCAAACTACCTAAACTAGTTATAAATATGTTTATTTTTACTGTCGGCCGGGTCACTCATTCCTGGATCAGCTGCTGCATGAGACAGACACTGACGCTGTCCAAAGAGAGGGAGGAAAAAGAGAGGCTCCGTGTATTTTATTATTATATTATATAGAGTCGTTATTCATTTGTTTTAAAGCTCAATAAATAACAAAGAAGACCTTTGACCGGCACTTTTATAATTTTGTCGGAAGATTTAAACTTTAATACACGTTGACTGGCGGAAAACTCTGCCCGGTTCCCTCGGCCCCCACCGCGGAGAATAAACAGAAGGACAACCGTGACAACCATGCTTCTTCGCTGCTTTTGTGGAGGAAGTTACAGCGCCACGTACAGGCTCCTGCATATGTACTGCAGCTTCTCCAGCGGTTGGAGCTAAACGGAGCGGTCTCGTGTGGGCAGACACTATCCGGTGAATATTGCGTGTGGACGGAAGCTTGTTTGCGATTGCGTTTGCGTTAATCCTATGTGTTTAGCCGTTTTCGTCCTCGTGTGGCCGGGGCACTAGACGATAGAGCAGCATGTGCCAATTGATGACAAGTCCCTACAGCTTTAAGTGGAGCATAAGTGCGCTGCTCCTCAGATCAATCCCACCTGACTGCCACTGCACTCATCATGCCGTTGTGTCCTTGGGCAAGACACTTCACCCTAAATTGCTCCTGCGGGTATTATCCACAGTATTGATAGATGTAATATGTCATGTAAAGCGCTTCGAGCCCTTTTAAAAGCGCTACATTAAATGCAATTAATAATTTATTATTATAATAAGATGTTCTTCATTTTAAAGCATGCAACATGAAAAAAAGGTAATCTTCTGTTATGTAATAACTGATCAAAGTAAATATATGTGTTGTCATTTGTACTCACCCTTCAGAACATAGAAACGTATCAGTGTTGAGATCAAGTTTAAACTATGTAAACATTGTCCGGCTTATCGTGATTGTCTAAATGTGATTTCAGAGAGAAGTCTTTTAGAATTTCTATGAAGAAGGACAAAGATTGACCTCAGTCTGCGTGCACTACGTGCAGTCTGGCCGATGAAGATGATGATGGGGAAGATCTCAGCCCGGCGCAGCCGACGCACGCAGTCCAGCCCCAACGGCAGCACGCAGTGAATCCCCTGTGAGAGGGGGGGGGGAGGGACATGTGGAAGAGGGGTTATAAAGAGGATTGCTATTACATTAAATATATTTAAGGCATAATATGTAAAGATGTGTGAAATGATTTAATCCTTGTTTTTACTTTTCATGGCAAATCTAAAGCCAGATAGTGTTTTGTTAAACAGTTCATTAGAGAAATGATGATAGAAACATATGAATAAAATACTTTGTGCAGTTTAAGGTAAATGTGCCTCACCAATGCAACCCTTTTCTGTCACAATTGTATTATATTTTTTATATAGTTATATCTAAAATGATATCTTAACATGTGATCCAACAGCGTGTTTCATAATGAAGAAAACGTGATCCTGAAACGTAATATTCTTTTCATATTAATATACTTTTTCAGTATATGGAGTTATAACAGACCAGTGTGATGTGTGTAGAGGTGTGTGTGGGCACTTTGTAGAAGCCTGAATGAATGATCGGAACATGGCGTTATATGTGTGATGCTGCATATTTATGAAGGTTATGGAATAAAGTCTGGACTAAAGCAGTGATACAACAGCGTCATCCATAGAGCCCCACCTAGTGTGGAAACCTTTTAAGATTTATTTTCACTGTTTTAAATCCATGGATCAGTCCATTTAAATGAAATGGACTAATCCATGGATTTGACCACCCTCCAATGAGAGATTTCAAATATAAGATGATTTGTTTGTGTGTTGAGTCTTCTGACCTTCTTCATGACTTTCTCCACACTCTGCAGTGTGTAGCAGCAGTTTCTCCCCTGCTCACACTCTTCCAGGATCTCAGACCTCTGCAGCCGGGCTGCGTGCTCACTGGAGCTCAGCACCTCTGTAGAGCGGGGTGAGGGGGGGTCAGGGAGGTTAGGCATGAAGAGATCATCTATGTATGTTCTTAATGCTATTTTCTGTCATATAAAATTGGCTTCATAATTCCGTCGTACATGTTGATCAATTATTCCACACAGTTGCAGTTCAAAATTCTAACTAGTTTTATAATTTCATACATTTTACAGGCTTTATGAGAATTCCATGAAAGTGTAAATTCAGAAAATGATTCAACATAAATGTAATCTATTGGCAGTGCCAGTTTTTTTCATCTGCATTTCTTTCTTTCTTTCGAATACACTAGTCCAGGGGTGTCAAACTCAGGCCACATTAGCATCATGGTTGCACTCAGAGGGCCAGTTTTATATATAAGACTATATAAAAAGACATATATAAATATTTAATATATATAAAATAATGTATTATATTACATGATTGCCTCTGCATTGGATTATTATCTGATAGGGTAATAACTTCATAATTAACTACATCTGAAAGCAGAAGTCTAGGGCAAACAATTGCAAGTCTCTTCAGTGAGAATGTCACAAAATGATTTAAAAAGAAAAGCCACATTCTGGAAAAAAAGAGTCAAAATTCCCCCCAAAAAATGAAGTTTTGAAAAAAAATAGTGACATTTTGAAAAAAAAGTCAGGTGCTGAGAAAAAGTCAAATTTGAGATGCATTGTGGGACATGTAGTTTATGGGCAACGTGCTTCTGTAAATCGGTAACCGTATAATAAACATATTATATTCTTTGCAAGCTCTTGTGGGCCACATGAAATGTAGTCACGGGCCGGATTTGGCCCCCGGGCCTTGAGTTTGACACCCCTGCACTAGTCCATAAAGATAAAAAGACAAATAAACTTTAATTACACCTTATCGTTGCAGGAAACTGGGCAAACATTTAATAGCCTCTATCATATTACTATGGGTTCACAAAGTGTATTTCCTTCCTGGTTAGCAGCAACAGACAAACATGACCTGTCAAGTCAAACAGAGCAGCAAATGGAACTGCCTCCCTCCTCTCCATCTAAAGATGCGTCTCGCTCCAGCGGACACAGATATGAAATATAACATGACACGGTTCCCTAATAGCAGAGTATTTCTTACCAGGCTCACAGAGCTGGAAGCCCTGCCAGTCTGGCAGCTTCTTGTCCAGGATGTGTCCCAGGATGGAGGGCAGCAGCAGGACGGGCCTGCAGACGGGGGGGAAGTGGGGGGTGACCAGGCTGTAGGGCATGAGGGTCAGACAGCTTTTGGGTGCAGATGTATCGCCTACAAAAAAAGAAATTCAATGAATATCAAACAGCAGATGCTTTAAAGAAAGATAATATCCTTTTGTGACTGCACTGAAAAAACTGAAACGTTGACTTGAATCATAATAATCCTTATATTTATTATAGCGCTTTATCAAAGACTCTCAAAGCGCTTTACAAATACACATTACACATACAGATCATACATGTAATGGTCATCTACTGTGGACAATACCCACAGGAGCAAATCCGGGTGAAGTGTCTTGCCCAAGGACACAACGGCCTGACGCAGTCGGGCGGGAGCGGGTTCCGAACTGGAGTTCCCCAACGCCCCCTTGATCTGATGATCAAACGCACAGACCACTGCGCCACCCGTCCCCATGTCAACATGTCATGTCATGTCAACAAATGTAACTGTATTAGGTTAGATCAGATATAAGTTGAACACAGTTAGCGCCGTGTGCTGCTGCAGGCTGTACCTGACTCGGTGCTCTTGGGCTGCTCCTCCTCCACACTGACCCACAGGGGGTTCCTGCCCTGGCGCATGGTGCCCACAATCCTCACCGCCTTCTGCTTACTCTGGGCCACCAGACGCCCAGCCTGATGCAGCAGAGGAAAATATTCAACTTTTCACTCCCGACTAGTCACATGGCGTCACTTTTTACTGCAATTGGTACCCATTGAGAGCGATGTATGTGCAGGGTAGTCAAATAGAATTACATTAGGGTGGGGCAGTATATTGGTATACAGTTGCATCTTAATATTGTGGAAAAGTTCATTCATTTCAGTATTTCATGTGTTTATTTGTTTTAATCTTGATGATTACAGCATACAGCTAATGAAATCTCAACATTTGAATATTACACAAGACTAAAAGAAGGTCGAAGAAATGTCGACCTTCTGAAAAGTATGTGTCATGTGCACTCACTACTTGGTTGGGACTCCTTTTGCAGTGTGGCTTTCATTAGCTGTAAAAGCCGCAATCATCAAGATTAAACAAATAAAGGCTTGACATCATTTAATGTGTGTGTAATGAATCTAAATAATATGAGTTTCACTTTCTAAATAGAAGGACTGAAATGAATGAACTTTTCCACCATATTCTAATTTATTGAGATGCACCTGTAATATTAGAATAGATCGTCTTACATATTAGTTCACGTAATATCATTCATCTGAACTTTTCCTGGTTTTGAAAGTTATTTTCTAAACTTACAACACTATTTGATCTGTTCTATTATGCACCACTAGGTCAGAGTCATTAGTGATTCTTTTTCATCAAAAAAACCAAAACACATTTATGCAAGCACCCACAGTCAACGGTACATTATCGTCCCAAAAACATATTGAAATATTGGATCAGAAATATCCTGATATGTTTTTTTGCTCTCCCAGCCCTTACTTCAACATGTAAATAACATTATGTAAGTCACTTGAGTTAAATGAGTTATGTAACTACTTGGTTAGGATTAGAAAGGGATCATGTTTGAGTGCTACAAGTGCCTTTGTTAACATAGCAACTCAACATGTACTATTTTACAGAAATAAGTACAGTATACTACGTAGCTACTTTATGTCACTTCAATTAAGTTGCTAGGTTTTGGTTTCATTTAGGACATCAACTTCATTCTTCTGTGAAAATCCTGTTTGTTTGTCCCCTTCCATCCACCCCAACCTCGTCTCTATGCACTTTCTCACCCTGCATGACCTGACTTCCACTTGAACTCTGGTCATGAATACTACATCCCATACAGGCAGCCCTGCAGGAACAACACTGACGTCAGAGGGTTATAGTGATGCATAGGGACTAAGATGCTGGGAGTGAGAAGTGGTTGCCCCATGAGTTATTACAGTGATATTCTGTATTAGAACAAGGTGTGGCAGTATTTTGGAATACTTTTACCTTTGGGGACTTCTTTGTTTGAAAGCTCATGTCTTCAATCGCACGAATCAGAAGTTGCTGTGCCCTGCGCAATCAGAAAATCATTAGAATGTGCAGTTGTGGAGATTTATTTGTAACTTTGACATATTCTGATGATTCCAACCCCATCTACTGTATGTTTGACAAACATTTCCACATTCCACATCATTTTACTGACCTGTAATAGTGGGGTACATTTCCGCCCTGAAGGTCCAGCAGCTGGCAGGGGTGAACCAGGCTGGCTCTCCATGAGTCCTCAGTGCCGGCGGGTCTTGTGTTGGTCACATGAAGGATGTCGTTGCAGGACACGGCCAGAGCTCCGTTAGGGCCCGCAGGGAGAGACATATTGACCCGTACGTAGAAGGAGTCTCCGGATGACGTCTCACCGCTTTGCAGCAGCTGCAGCAGAGCCTCATAGTCTAAACAGGCAGAGGAAGACACTGTAACTACAGACACTGTATATTTGGCGTACTGATCAGACACAGGAGTCGCTTCAGTGGAAGACTCATTCCACCAAGATGGTGGTCCTTCCGGGCTGTGGACATTAAACTGTTGACTTCTCCCTCAGAGCGTCAGATGATTGGAACTAAGATTTTTTCACAATAAGCAGCAAAACATTATAAACTGTGCAATTCAGCATTGATGTCTCATTCATACCAAAACACTACTGTTAAATTGTAAATAAATAAATACTTACATTTTTAATTGTATCTTTTAATATAACTTTGTTGTTTGTATAAAAATCATTATTTTATTAAAACGGCACACCTCATAAAAACAGCAGGCTAATAATAGCAGTTATATCCTGGTTCTACTTCAACAAGTCACAGATAGATGAGATTTGTCACATGGCAGCTGGCCATCAATCTAATCTCAAGAGAAGGCTTCATAACAGCAGAACCATAAACTTCACTTCCTGCTAGAGCCAAGATACAGTCACTGTGATTTGAAATGATGAAGTCAAGCCGTATGATTTTGCTCTTGTGTGTGTATGTTTGTATGCAAAGGCACATTTTCTTTTTGAAAATGTAAAGGGCAAAGCATGAAGAAGCAGGTCTTTGGATATGACATGGGAAATGTAGTCTATTATGATATTCTTTTGGTTACTTGGATTGAGATACTAGGGATGTATGATGAGACGTACCATCTTGGTTACAAGGGGCCAAAGTATTATATGTACATGATGCAGGACGTACCATCTTGCCTGGGCCGGAGGGAGAGGTGACAGAGGCCTGTGACCTGGCCAAGAGCCCACATGGCTTCCTCTAAAGTGGAATCTTCCAGCACCATCCTCAGAGCCTTCTGGTTCTGCTCGTACTTCACCTGCACAATAACAGTTATATGAGAAATGTACGCAAGCCATGAGAGGCAAGAGAGAGAAAAAACCCTGTGGTGATCAGTTTTCTGAATCTAATCCAAATCGTTTTCTCTCCTTTGTTTATGACGTAAGAACAGGTGAAAAGAAGATTTTGCCAGGATAATCTTTCTCTAATCGTTCCTTAATATCTTTTTCATCTGTGGAACAGGTGCAAAAAAATGTGGCTGAAAAAACTAACATTTGCCAAGATAGTCTTTCAAAGTTTCTTTTATCCTTGAAAACAAGTATAACGATTTTCAGGTTTCTTTTTAAATGAAGAAAAGCATATTAATGTATTAAATGTTTTATTTTATCATCTCATTTTTATATTGTCATGTAATTCAGTAAGTAATGGCATATTTATGTCTGAGCTGACAGCAGAATTAAATCAACTTTTTTTTATATATACTTAAGTCTTTGGCACAAGAGCAAAAAAACGACTTGGATCAAAACCAAAAAGTGGATCATGTGTCTTTTTGGGCTTCCGTAGACGTCTTCTAGGCAAAATGATGTGTTTAGAAACATATTTAAACCCACCTCCACTATCTGTGCCCCGGGGCTGATGCCCACAGTATGGGCAGCGGTTCCCTCTGTCACCTGGTGCACAAACACTCCGGTCTTATTCCCTCCCACCACTGCCAGCTGGCTGAGCAGCGTGTCTCCCTGGAGGGAGATGCTGAGAACGCGGCCGTTAATGCGAATTGCTTTCGGACGAGAGCGCATCAGGAAGGGAGGGGCTAGGGTTTTACATAGGCTGGTGAGGAGAAATAAGGAGAGGAGGAAAGTTTAGAACATCAGAAAAACATTTTAATTATTAAAAGTGACATCAATGGTATGGAAAAATGTTACTTCTCACTGAGAACAGAGACAATCATTTCAAAGTATACAGCCTACAAACCTATACCCAGTGTGTGGTATTGTTACTTGACCTCAACACCTATACCCCCCTCAAGATGTATGGTCCCTCTAGCTCCCACTGCCCTTCTATTTATACACCAAAGGCCTTTCCTATGGACGCTCCGAGCCACTTTGTATGTTTTCAGTTTAAAAAGCCAGGGCTGTATATTTTGTTTTCTCTGGGATGTATTTGCTGATTTGAAAAAATGGTTTGGGATGACAATTGCTGACCATACCTTTAACTGTGAGGGTCAGCACACAGTTATTGTTGAATATCTAATCTAGTGTGCTGGATGAAATGATGATAAAGTCCCTTCCCCTCTTTGTGCTCTGTATGCACTGTATGAGATCTTACAGTATATATCAGGCATTCTTTACTTAAAGCCCACTTCTAAGGACCACCTTTCCAAATAAACAAGAAATAAAACATGTCAAATTGAGAAATAATACACTGGGTTGTTAATATGTGTGATGTCACCAACATGTATTCTAATGTATTCACTTTAAGGGTCCTATTTCTTTGACTGACTCAGGGATATACCACCAAATTACTTTTTCATTTAAAGAGCTATTATTTTGTGTCACTGCATTCTAAACCATTAATTGTGTATTATTGCCATGGTGATACTGGCCATTTGTGATGGTCAACGCATTTTTTAATTTACATTATTTATTTTAACATTTAGATATAACAGTAACTAGATAAGTGAATTAGCAAATATTGAAATGTATTTGAACCATTTGCCAGTAATTGAAGTAGACTGCTTTCTGTTCTACACAAAAAGGCTTAGTAATATGAAACTGTTTATTTATAGCAATGTTGGTCCTCACCTGCCGGCGCTGGAGCCTTGGGAAGAGGAACGCCTGTGTCTCTGCATGTCTGCACTCTCCACTGAACAAAAGAGAGGCTGTTGAATCATTTGGCATCACGGTTGTTTCCCCAGGAATAATGTGCATGTGAGTTAGTGTGTCACTTCACAGCCCTGGCACAGGTCCAACATTGAACAAAAGCTAATGAAAGTGCTGCCAAACAACAGCACCCCCCCCCCCACACACAGACAGTCACTTAGCCAAAAAAGTTTTCCATACTGTGAGGGATAAACACAAAGTCGTCCAATACAGATTCATTCTCCAGTGTGTCCAAGCTGCAAGAGAGGAAAAAAAGCTACATGAACACATTTATCACGTTTCAACTTTCTTGCCCATACAGGCATGTAGATACACACTGATGAGTTTAGTTCTTTATACTGAGCCCGATTTCATGCTAAGCACAAGATAATTATCTGTCGCGCTATAACCCACAGATTGGTTTAGTGAGTTGGAATATTTATATTCCTATGACGACAAAGATGAATGGTTTGTCAGCACATGGGAATACAAAAAGCTCCCTTAAGCAGAAATACAAGAGTTGAGGAGTCTGAGTGTACGAGAACCTTTTCACAGTGTGCTCTGCGGGCAGCTTTTGCCTCGTTCTTGGTATAATAAGATCCTAATGAATCATTTCCTGGAAAGCAGTGGTCAATAACAACTTTACTTAATTCTTCCTGCTGGGTGTCATGCCAAAAGCCTCGCCGGCTGGAACTCATAACGTCTTTTCAAATCAAAGCACGAGCTCAATCAATATAATAATAGTGTAGATGAACGTGGAAACACACACCTGCTGTCTGCATATAGAGCTTCCTCTCTTCTGCGGAGGGACTCGGGGCTGGGGGGCTCTGCGTATCGGGATCGGACACTACTCGCTGCAGCATCTTCACACTATACACAAATATACATTATTTACCGTGTAAAAAGGACTAATAAATAAAAAGAATATAATAAAAACGATTTTAATATACTGGTTTGTTGAAAGCATCAACAAAAAAAGATATTACAAATTAATACATCGGAATTTCTGGGATTAAAAGAAAAAAACTCACACACTTGAGTAAAAATCTAGAAAATTCTCTGAAATATTATCAAAAATCCTCTGGCTCCCACGTATTTATTTTGACCCACAATAGCACTAACACTTAGATATCAAATATAGTTCAAGTTTAAATCATTTTTGAAATGTCAATATTAGCACAAAAGTGATACCTAAGCTTCAGTTCCAAAATCAACATGATTTTTTCAATTCATCACCTGAAAAGAAAGATACAATAAAAGCCCCAAGCACTTCGGTTGATACTACAAATGTTAATCTTTGACGAGGACATATTATACTTATTTTCAGGTTCATATTTGTATTTTGTGCCGATAGAAGCGCGAGTGTTACATAGTGATGTTGTTCCGTTATGGAAGCAAACAGTATTCCCATTAAGGCGTTTTGCCCAAAAGCAAAATAGGGTCTCTTTGAAAAATGGGTGAAAATTATAGTTGGAAAAAACGAATTTGTTTCCTTCCTGTTATCTGTTATTTGCTGTCACTCAGAAATGAAACATTAGTGTATTTTCTAGGGGATGATTTGGATATGTTGATCATCATTAAATGGACGATTGAGCTCTTTGGCAATAAGAGATACAGTATACTGTAAGACTTAGGCTACTAAGATCAATTCATTGGTGGTTTTGCTATTAATTGGTATTTGTAGACAATATCAAGCATGTAGACAACTTCCAGCCTGATCTCTTAACACAAGGATCTGTACATGAATTTGACAGAAAATAAAACAAGAGAAAAAGACTTCACACTCTCACCTCTGAGTTGCAGAAACTGGTTGACAGTGGATTGACTGCGTCCATGCGGCAGAGTTTGCGTCTGGTGGGCATTCTGGACAGGCATGGGGATTCTTCAAAGCTGGATCTCGGGCTCTCCCAATCCATGTCCAAACCCTTTAACAAGAGCACCTACATTAGCATAATCAAGTCTGTATGCTGTGTGTTTATGCGTGCTGAAATGGGCTTGAGTGGTGAATCACATCAGAACTCTGCCGGCGCCCCGTGGTGGCCTTCAGGCTGAAGACGCGCTCCTGGAGCTCCACCTGCTGACACCTCAGGGCGTCCTTCTCAGCCAGGGTGCGGGCGATCATGGCCTGGGCTTCATCTCGGGACACGTACGCCTGAAAGCACAGGAAACATTAAACTTGACATACCTGTTGGGGAAATATTTTCCTAGGCCCATAACTTTGACCCATTTGATCAGTTTGTACTTCACAGGCCTGCCACCCTGTGCTCTCGGTATCTTGTCTCCCTGTTCCTGCCTGTTGGCGTCAGCTGAGAGAGCTGTTATTGTGCTTTTCCTGTTTCATCTTGTTATGCAGCATGTTGCTTATTCTCTCAGAACCAGCTACATACAGGGGTCTGGGGTAGAGATCTTCAGAATTGGTTTGGCCACCGCTGTGTCACCTCGTGGCACACGACATGCCTTCTGAATTCTCCGGCCGAAGCTCCAAATAAACCGTCAGTGTTTGCCATCAAAGCTCCTGCTCTCCCCGTGTCTCTCTGAGTTTCGTCTCCATTTCTTCAGAAGTTTCCATCACAATACCTAAATGACACAGAATTGACTGCACAAAGAACGCCTTATTTCTTATTCGTGCAGATAAACGCACTCAGGCCAAGTGTACGCCTCAATTAAAAATCCCAATTATGAGTGGAATGGCATAACTTGTCTCACGCCAACCGTAACTCAAAACGTTGATATGCACATCACTCAATCAGGTAATGTCTGGATGAAGCAGAATCAGTCTCTGGCTGCCACAGAGGTATGCAGGATGTCTTCAGTGTGGCGTCTGTGGCTGGTAGCTTTGTAGCTTTCGACACATTCTTGTGAACATATCAACTCAAGAACAATACATGATAGAAAACTTGGAGCAGCAACCACGTTTGAGACATGTATAATAATGCATGATAGAACTGTACGTTACATAACCGATGTGATTGGTGATGAACGATTTAATGAAAATAAATGAAAGATATATTTTACTCCACACTGTGTTGCATTTTATATCAATCTGATTAGATGTCACTCGGCTTGTGGTGTTCAAGTCGTCAAAACTATACATTTGAAAAACTAAAAAGCAAAGTCTCTTTCCAAAAATCAAGAACAGGTGCATCGTATCATGAACAGTTCAGTAAAAAGAAAAGAGTTCCTGCAATAGTTCACTACAATATGTGGATCATCTAAAGTCAATGGAGATGTCTTCATGTGTCATGTATCTTCAGATGTATTATTTTGGCGCTTTGACCACGCACGCTGAGTGCAATCTAGTTCCAATATATGATAGGGAGGGCAGACATCTCTACAGCTGATACCTAAACAACTCTAATAACACTTCGACTTTCTACACCGATAAGTAGCTCTATGAGGAATAACATGTATACTTGATTCATGGGGTGAACTGTCCCCTTAAGTGTTTCCTGCCTGGTTTTCAAATTTAGGAATTTGGATTTTCCTGTCATTAATGGATTAAAAAAAAATAGATAACTTTAAGAGCGAGAGGCAGGACACACAAGGTATGCCAACCCCATAGTGACATGCAGATGCTGTGCGTCACACATCTTACAGCAGGTATGATTCACCCATCACACCCCTGAGCTGTCAGTTATTACCCTGGTGTGTTGTTGCTTTCTGCACAGCTCCAGTGGAACAGCTGGCAGCTCTGTGAACAACTGAGAGTGGGTGTGTGTGTGTGTGGGTGGATGTTTTATTTCATTGTTGTGAGTGTTAAAAATAAACTTGCTTTGAAATGACTATACATTTCTATTGAAATTATTTCAAGTGAATGGCTTTAACGTAACATAATAAATGCAATTGAATGGAGTAGGAAAAAATAACTATATTTTGGTTGCCAGCGCATTTTACAACTTTAGACCCTAATAGACTGAATAAAGGGGCTTTCAAGTGTTCGTTCTGGGTAGTTGAGTTAGCCAAAAGAAAGAAATAAAAGCTGATTTACAAACGTCTCTTTCCCAATGCAAGTCATTATTATTATTGTCCTACTTATTGTTTGTCTCAAATGTTACGGCTATTGTGACCACCCTGTTTCATTCCTTTCACCTGCATCTTTGAACAGTTTGCATTACGATATGTGCACATATCTACATACCTGTTCCTTCATAATGTTAATAATGTATGTGTTTCTCCTTCTTGACAGATGCAGGTGCTCTCTTTTTGGAACATGTAACTACTACTAGCACAACCAACAGATAGGGCAGGTGTTAGCCCCAGATCAGTAGCTTATCCTGAATTTGTTGAACACATGTCCAAAGAATGCCCTCACATGAATAATATCCACTTACCTCGATGTAATGTGCTACATTTTAGAAAAATATCTTATTCAGAACAGAGAGTTAGAGGTAGAATAAGTAAGAGAGCTGATATTCTATCGTCTCCAACCAAACTGCTCACACTCGACCGGTTGACATTTCAACAGGAAAAACAAACAGTGTGATGCAATGCAAGATCAGTTCCAACTAAGCCTAACAATAGAATCCTAGACTGCAGGGCAAACAGAAATAAAATAATTGATGAAAGACAGGACCGATGAGATTGTTGTCAGTTCCTCACCTGGTCTCTCTCTACCTGCAGCTCTTTCATCTGGTTCTGGATCACGGTGCTCTTCTGCTGGTGCATGGTGCAGTCCAGGGTCAGCTGCGTCACCTGGAGGCTCAGGACCTCCTTCTGGCCCAACAGCTACACAAATAAACACATTATGTGAACTCGTGTATATATGTAAATATTGGTGGTATATCGTGTAACCATTTAAAGATATAATATCACTTTTGTCACTTTTTTTTTTTTTAAATGTGTGGACCTGTGTTATTTATTTTGTTGAGTTGTATACCTAGGTCAACCAAATGTTTCCAACAGTTTTCAAATTTAGGTAACGGTTCATTTGATTTGGTCACCTGTAAGTGAAACGTATGCATTCAGTTTGTTATTTATACCAGAAACTCTCATACATTCACTTATTATCCCATTCAACACCACATTTCTTAAATAATACCCTTTTGATCTTGGTATTTTGACCTTTATATTTGAACTGTAAGAAGAATTTTCTCATCAGATCTGAATTAATTAGCCAAACAAGCTGAGCCAAAATAGCAATAGGATTTGTTCAGCAGGATAATCTCCACAAACAGTATTTCAAACATGCTAAAATCTATCACTATGCTATAAATGAGCTACACAATAGCCTGCTAAACTAAAGGTAGCTAATGTTTGGTGTGATGATGTTTAGCAGTCTCATTTAGCCCCTTGTTGCAAACGCCATTTTTAAAACACATAGAAGCTCTGGAAATTCACAAATCGGTTATTAATTGACATAATTAATGTCATAGAACATAATGGGATAATTTTCTTAAGCTTATGTTACCTCTGACCTTATTTCAGGCCTCTAACCAAAAACATGTTTAAAAAAACTCTTGACCTCAAGAAGAGGGACTAACTAATTTCCGGATTTTAGAAAACATTCCTACAGCACTCTTTACAATAGCCGCTTTCACACCAAGTACTTTGCCGTACTTAGTTCCCAGCACTTAGTACCCCCATGGAACTAAGTACAGATCGCGTTCACACCAGAATAAGTTCCCTGAGGGAAGATTACGCAAACGAAGCCGCTGACGTCACTTCTTCTTGTTCTGCTTTGGGTTTACTGGCAGGCCGCAAACCACTTCACGGCGTATGCTGCCACCCGAAGTCCCCGGAGTTGGGGACTGGCTTCAATACTTCACTACTGAGTAAATCGCCAGAACGCCGACACTTTCTCATCACTCCACCGCTCCCATGTTTTTGTTGTTGTGTTGCCATAAGTTATTCTCTCTCCGTTGGTGCATGGTGCTAATGCTAATGCTAATAATGCTAATGCCAGCAAATACAATGGCAGTTTCACAAAACTTTTCAGAGTTTTACGGGGCGTGGTTTGCAATTCACCCAGCCAATCAGAAATTGGTACTTTTTTCTCCCCAGGATAGTCCCACCTCTCTAGCAGGCACTAAAAAGGGGGTAAATGTTCTCGGAACTAAGTACCCTTTTTGGTGTGAACGCAAAATTCCAGGCACTAACGGAACTAAACGGGAAAATTACGGGTAAAAGTACTCCGGTGTGAACGCGCCTAATGCCCATGTTTTTAGTTAAAAACAGAAGTTTTCCTCTGGCTTCTTCCCGTCATGGGACTGTGTAGGAGTAGGAAAATCATCTGGAGTGTCATCTTTCATCACGCAGTAACTGTTTTGCTGAATTTACATGAAATGTCCTGATCGGTGATGACACAGAAAAATATAAACACACACACCCCAAGCTTTTCCGAGAGCAGCTGTTCATTCTCCTGTCTGTAACACTGGAGCTGCTCTGCCAGTTCCACCTGGCTGTCGATGGCCTCGGCCAGATCCTGGGCCAGGATGTCCTGATGCGCCTGTGGAGAACAAGATAAGATGAAAGACTGAGACACAAGTGGATATTGACTCTTTCACTGTCTAAAGGTTATGTGTGAACGAGGATACTCCACATGAATGAGCATATAACACAGAATGATTAAGTGATTCTTCTCACTGGGTCCAGTTTTTCCGCCTTCAACAGCTGGCAGCGCAGACTCCTGAGTTCCTCCTGCAGCTGTGGAGTCTTCTGGAACGCATTCTCTGTTTGTGCCTTCAGCAGCTCAGTCTGCAGCTGGTACATCTGCAACAACACCAGAACAACAGTGCTTATTTACATGTTTAAACAAATTGATTGACAATCACAAGGTATTAAATCAATATCAAAGAGAAGAGAAAAGCAGCAAATCTGGAAAGAAACTGATCATTCGCATTTTTGCAAAAATAAATGGCTTTTCATTTTGATAACAGAGCTGGCCCTAAACATTTGCTCAATACAGAGTGCAGGGTTTTTTAATACAACAAATGTAATCTCCTAAACAGTTTGTGCATTTGTGTGTAGATATGACACATTTAGCGATTTTGGCAAATAGATTGCTTATGACAAAAACAATGGGTGAAAAATAAGGAGTTTCCAGGACCTTTCCATGGTCCTAACAACAAATTAATAATCTGGTAAACCGGTGCTAAACATGTTTTGGCAGGTCTATTTTTTTGCATTTTGTTGTAATACTAATATTGGCCACAAGAGGCTCAGACATTGACTCCATGTTCTGAATAGGACCAAAATGATTAATGATTTGTTCGTAGTGAGTTTTAATTTCTCTCTGTACTTACTAAAAAAAGGTTGCTTCATTGTGTGTGTGCAAGTGATGTTATACAGGTATGCATATGGAGAGACAGAATGATTCATTTAAAAAGTATGACTCCACCCATTTCATCAAACAAATAGGAAGGGTCTTAAAATAAACAATAGAAGGAAAGGGGAACATCCAGATGAGAAGCATAATCAAAGGGGAGGGATGCAAACATGTTTTTCACCTGTTTAAAAAATGTACAAAAGTCCCTTAGAAAAGGAATTCACCTGGAAAACAAAAACATATTTCCACTTTTTTCTTCCCGTTTCTTTCATAAGAAATAAAGGTCATAGACACAGGATGGAAACATATGTATGAATAATAGTATGCTTATATTGGACTTTTCACAACCCCTCTGTTCTGTTGTGATATATTTCAAATGTTCTAATACATCTAGGCTAAAAAATATTTGTATTTACCAATCTTTTCCAGAGGTCTTTATCAACATTTGTTTTTATATATTTATTCATCGCTTATAGAGTCAAATGTATCTTTCAAAAATTGAAATGTTTGAAACTCATAAGTATGGTCAATTATTTTGTAATCAAATAATTGAATCAGCACAAAATATTGCTAAGTTAAATCCAAAATGCCATAACAAAAACAAAACCATCACATCTGTGCATACAGCGCTGATCTCTGCTCTGTCATGGCACTCATCATGTCATACCGAGCAATAATTAAAGGGCTGTGTCTGTGATTCGGTCCAAGTCCAAAAAAAGTCAGAAGACTTAAATACAACGGTCAACATGTCACACAGGCTGAGAGATCCTGGCTCTTAAAACACTGGGTCCTGCTCACTCCGAAAATGCAACTGCTAAAAGATTGTAGTCCCCGAGCCTAAACCAAAATTACCCATCACTCAAGAGACCTGAAACACATTTCACAAGTGGCTCCCGAGGCATATTTAGTATAAGCTTCTAAATTGACATTAAGCAGATTGAAGTTCTTTAGCCCTGACATTTTTAGCACTTTCCCCTGAGATCACAGCTTTGTTTTTCAGGGAGGAGAAACATATTAGAAGTATTTCTGAGTTGTTTTAGGGTGAGAAAGTGTATCGAGGATCACTGACCTGTATGTTGAGGTCGTGGAGGCGCATGTTCACAGCTGATTTATCCTCAATAGCTGCTGTGTATCGCACATACATGTCACATTTTTCATCCTTCATCTTGGTGATTTCATGCTGCAAAGAACACAGCTGTCTCCGTATGCGTTGGTTTTCAGACTGAAGGCATCTGGACTTCTCCTCATGCTCCATGATCTGCCTGACCTCCAGCTCCAAGGAGGCACAGAGAGTGCTCTTCTTGCTCGCCTCGTAACGCGCCTGCTGGAGCTCCTTCTGCATCCCCGTTACTGCTCTGACCAGATACTCCGTCAGCTCTGAGTACTTTATCAGGCCTGCCAGGAGAGCAACACCAGTCAAAAGCAAGTAAAAACAAAGAGACAAATATTCCCTTAAAACGCAGGAACACTTAAAGCTACAGACCACTGAATCTTGAAGGCTCAGTGCTGGGTTTGCGTCCAGTGACTTGGGTGTACAGGGGGGGGTAGTGGATCATCAGGCTCTCCAGCAAGGCCACAGCACCATTCCTGCCCTGGGTTCTCAGCAGGTCCAGCATATGGCCTGGAATAATGTTAATGTTAGATACAGTATCATAGCTCACCTTCAAAGCAGTAGACTTCATCCAAACATAAGTCTTTCCCCAAGTGTCACTACAGAAGTAAAATTAAAAAATGTTATTACTGCCCAAAGAAAAATAAATCGAACTGATTTGTAATCATCAAAGAGGAGATACAGGGTCCCATCATTTAATAAGGGGAGAGTGAAGCCCTCTATTGTACTAGATTTCAGACTTGATCTGACAATTATATATCATTGTTTTGTATCGCATCAAAACCATGTTTTATTTACAATAATCACAGTAAAAAACATATATAACAATATTAATAATAATAAAACTAAGCAAGAAGACAAACATGAAAGCAAATACTAAAAGCAAATACATATTAGTTTTTGTCCTAAAGTGTGACTGGAACTGCCTCTATCTCTTGGAGACAATACACTAAGCAGTCAGTGTAAACAAACAGGTGCAGTAAAAGATGACGTAAACAATCCACTTGTTACCTACAAACTGAGACATATTATGTCTTCTGTAACCCCTATGGCAGATTATTAACTTTGTTTAAAATCCAAGACGAGCAAGTCATAAATCTCACTGGTTCTCATGCTGCGGTTGGTGAGGTTGTGGCACGACACGATCTCGTCCTCGTCCATCTCCGTGAGCACCCTGGCCTGCCTCAGGTAAGGGATCAAGATGCCCGGCTTCACCCCCAGGGAGATCCGGTGGCGGTTGTCGTTAATCAGTTCCCACAGTTCCTCTTCGCCCATCTCCCCTAGGTTGGGACCCTCAGGAACGCACTCCCCTGCCATCCTGAGTGTGTTATGTGTGTTTGAAAGATAGAGGGTAGCCCGCTAGAGCAAACGGAGCGAACACACACCCTGAGCCCGGTAAGCAGACAAAAAGCTGTCTGACTAGAAGCGTTAGAAAATAACTATAAAAAGGGACAAGCTTTCCACGCCCTGTGGGTGTTTGTGTCAAAGTATTTGTGCATTTATTTGTGGGCGTGTAGGAAAAACCTGTAAGACAAGACCTATGTGATGGGACTGTATGAGGTTTGGCACACACACAGAATGGTGCAAACAGAGCTGAACACACACACACACACACACACTAAAAAAACATTAATCGAGTGAGCCAAACATTGTCTCCTCCATTCACACTCTTGGTGGCTTACTAACGTCTGTTTGCTTTGGACTGCTGATTCAATATCTAATGACATCATAAACCTCTTCCTTATTTCATCAAAAAGAGTGAAGCGTGATTTGTTCTGAGTCAAGCTGGTGTCCACAAACAAAGCCTCTTCCTGACACAGAAACATTAGATCCCATGCGCCTTAATAATTCCTAATCACAGTAAAGCAAACACATACCACACCGTTGACAGGAACAGTGAGCTGTGAAGTGCAAAGTCCTCTGTGAGAGAAGGAAATAAAGTGGGGGAAGGGGGGCTCAGGGGCGTTCTCACACTGACTAACTTTCCGCTCCTGTGGGTGAACTTACTGTCTACCTTACTGTCAAGGGTTGATGCAAACAAAGGGAAGCTATATAGGTAAACAATGGAAGGGATGACGTAAATCCAATAGCCATGGGGAATATGGAAATGTAAAGACGTAATTTGAAAGAATATCTAAAAAATTATCTGAAATGCAGAAAGCTATTCCTGTATTTTGATGATGTGCTTTAAGATTTTTGTTTCCCATTGTAAAGCGTCCTTGGGTCTCTTGAAAGGCGCTATAAAAATTGAAATTATTATTATTAAGTAAGGATGGGACGTTGTTGACCTCAACTGATGGAGTGTTAGGGCGTTGGAAGGAACACTTTGAGGAACTCCTGAACCCGACAACTCCGCCCTCTATGTTAGAGGCAGAGCTGGAGTATGACGGGGGATCAACACCAATCTCCCGGGGGGAGGTCACTGAGGTCGTCAAACAACTCCACAGTGGCAAAGCCCCGGGGGTGGATGAGATCCGCCCAGAAATGCTGAAGGCTCTGGGTGTTGAGGGACTGTCATGGTTGACACGTCTCATCAACGTTGCGTGGAAGTCGGAAACAGTACCAAAGGAGTGGCAGACCGGGGTGGTGGTTCCCCTTTTCAAAAAGGGGGATCAGAGGGTGTGTGCCAATTACAGAGGCATCACACTACTCAGCCTCACCGGGAAAGTTTACTCTAAGGTACTCGAAAGGAGGGTCAGGCCGATTGTCGAACCTCAGATTGAGGAGGAACAATGCGGATTCCGTCCTGGTCGTGGAACGATGGATCAGCTTTTTACTCTCGCAAGGATCCTGGAGGGGGCCTGGGAGTACGCTTATCCGGTCTACATGTGTTTGGTAGACTTGGAGAAGGCGTATGACCGAGTTCCCAGGGAGTTACTGTGGGAGGTGCTGCGGGAGTATGGGGTGAGGGGGTCTCTACTCAGGGCCATCCAATCTCTGTGAGGGAACAATGGAGCGTGAGATGGGCCGGAGAATCGGAGTAGCGGGAGCGGTACTGCAGTCGCTTTACCGCACCGTTGTGACGAAAAGGGAGCTGAGCCAGAAGGCAACGTTCTCTGTCTACCGGGCCATTTTCGTTCCTACCCTCACCTATGGTCATGAAGGATGGGTCATGACCGAAAGAATGAGATCGCGGATACAAGCGGTTGAGATGGGTTTTCTCCGCAGGGTGGCTGGTGTCTCCCTTAGGGATAAGGTGAGAAGTTCGGTCATCCGGGAGGGACTCGGAGTTGAACCGCTCCTCCTTCGCGCCGAAAGGAGCCAGTTGAGGTGGTTCGGGCACCTAGTTAGGATGCCACCTGGGAAGAGACCAAGGGGTAGACCTAGGACCAGGCGGAGGGATTATATCTCTTCGCTGGCCTGGGAGCGCCTTGGGATCCCCCAGTCAGAGCTGGGTTGATGTGGCCAGGGAAAGGAAAGTTTGGGGCTCTCTGCTGGAACTGCTACCCCCGCGACCCGACCACGGATAAGCGGGAGAAGATGGATGGAAGGATTATTATTATTAAGATCAAAGCAGATTGGAATGGCAGGAAGCTGATTAAGGTGACAGTTAAATGTGATGGTGACAGAGAAAAATATATGGAAGTCGTCCAATGTACAACATTAAAAATGGCCGTGCTAGGCTTTTTGGGGTTTCCCTTTCCTGTAGTGTGTTATACAGTATAAGGCTATTACTGTACTGGTTACTTTGCAGCCCGGACCTTTCCCCCAAAACACATTTAGACGTGATCGCAACACAGAAGTACCTTTCAAATCCAAACATTTTTAAGACCTTTTAAATCATATTTAAGACCTTTCTAATTTTTTGGATCATATTTAAGACTTTTTAAGGCCTTAAATTGTGATTATCAAATGTAAGACTTTTTTAGACTTTTTAAGCTCAACTAACACACCTAAAATAAAACACAAACATTTATACTGGCTGAAAAAAACAAAAAAAGCTAACGTTAGCTTGCTATGGCAATATTGTTAAAAAAGAAACAAAGACTAAAAGGTTTAGATGTTGCATAATTGTTCCTGTTTTTGACATTTATTTTACTTAGCTTACACCATTAGATCGCTGGCTAAACTGGACTTTTACCTCATTCACACCAACGCAACTCCGGTTCAAGCTCCGTGCTAGAGCTTTTCAGGTTCATAACCGGTTCTTCGGTTTAGCTCTGGCTCTTTTCACACCGCCCAGAGTCCGACTGGTAATGCGTCATTGCGTCATCGTTTGCGTCATGACGTAACCGTTTGCGTGCCTGCTTCATAAAGCCAAACCGCGCGGATGAAATCAGTTGCATTCATTTCTTATGGCTCTATCTGCAGCTTTTCCAGAGTCATTTCTGTGGTTTAGTTATATTCTTATAAAAAAAGTGTACTCGTGTCAATAAAGGTTTTTTTAAAACACAACTGCTTCCGAGGTCGGTCTTATTTCTTAAGGTGCACTGAATCATGAGTGTGGAGTAACGTTGTATCTTTCATTTAAATGCCTTCACCCAGGTATGTAACAGCTGTTCTCAAATGAACACGTGAAGTAAAGTTTAATATTTATAGTTTTATAGATTTATAATGAGTTATAATGAGAGGTGATCGACGTGAATGCTCAGGTTCCACCTTAACATGCAGACACGTTGCTTCACCATGAGCAGAAACCTTTATATATACAGTCTATGGCAGAAACACTGAAACTCTTGTTAAGTTTCTCCATCGTTGTGTACAAACTGGATAAAACTCAGGAGTTGATCCTGTCTCTGCCCCCGCCTCGACGTAAGCGTGACGTATGCGGTGCTTTTGCTCTGGCCGGACAATTTTTTGGTGCTTGAAACGAACCGGATTCCGGAGCTAAGAGGCTGCTCCACTGCGGTGTGAACAGGAAAACCTGGTGCTTTTCAAGCACCAGCCCCTGAAACACCGTTGGTGTGAATGAGGTATGAGTATGGCCCTTGACTCTTACTTTGGGTAAAGGCCCGGACATACCAAGCCAATTTTTGCCAACGATGAGCATCGACATGCCCTACTCAGATTGGTGTGTCCCGCACCGTCGTGTCTTTTCAGCCACACCGACAGCCTTTGGCCGAAAACCCAACGATACAACATGTCGAATCGGTGGGTTTTCGGCCAAAGGCTGTCGGCAAAAGAAATCACTCTGATTGGCTGTTCAACTAGCGAATCAGTGCATGAGAAGCGAAACGGAAGTGAGGGACCCAAACAAACTATTAAGAAGGCAAATCTGGGATTTCATTTAACTCCAGCTCTCGACAGGTTCTGGAAAGCCCCATGAGCTTCTCGTTGTAGAGTGAAAATGGAACGCACACGCTATTTGTTGTTTGTTTATATCATGCAGTCTGTTCTTCTTCTCTCGGTTATCACGCAGTCTGTCTTCCGGTTGTTGCCTCTTTTGATTGACAAATACACACTACCGCCGCCTGCTGGTAAGGAGAGTTATTGCCACTCACGCATGCGCAGTTCATACGTGCTTCTTGGCCGTTGGCTGAAGTCTTTGCGGTGTGTTCCAGTGCGAAACATGGCCAAGACGCAGAGACGCGCGGGGCGACACAACAGTCGGGGGTCCATCCGTGTCAGTTCTTTGGTGTCAGCTTGGTGTGTCCGGGCCTTTAGGCTTAGGGTCAGCCCCATCTTTTGGCAATTTAGTCCATATCATCCATCCACTCTATAACAAAAAGCAGACTTAATGTTTTCCTTTTGCATCTGTCTGACAAAATGCAACAGTTAACAGATACAGGTTAAGCAAACTGAAAACAGCTATAAAACGGAACGCGACCATAACGTTGTGCTCCTGGGTAGCCCAAGTATGTGCACTGCCTATCTCGAAAAAATATTACCTGCTCAACAACATGTCTATCTATTTAAAGTAAAGCTTGACAACCTGGAAAAAAACCTGAAATTAACATAAAATAATGAACAGGGCCCTCTGTGACTGGATCCTGAACTTCCTGACGGGGCAGACCCCAGGCAGTGCGGGTGGGAAACATCACATCCTCCACCCTGATCCTCAACACCGGAGCCCCTCAAGGCTGCGTGCTCAGCCCTCTCCTCTACTCCCTGTTCACACACGACTGCGTGGCCACACACAGCTCCAACACCATCGTGAAGTTTGCTGACGACACGACCGTCATCGGCCAGATCACAGACGGCGATGAGACGGCGTACAGAGAGGAGGTCGAAAACCTGACATCTTGGTGCCAGGATAACAACCTCCATCTCAACGTCAGCAAAACCAAGGAGCTGATTGTGGATTCCAGGAGCAGCAGAGAGAGGGACACGCCTCCCATCACCATCAATGGTGGAGAGAGTCAGCAGCTTCGGTGCCCACATCACTGAGGAACTGACATGGACTCATCACACAAACACCGTCACCAAAACAGCTCGACAGCGGCTTTTCTTTCTCCGCAGGCTGAGGAG